TTGTCTTCTAATGACTTGACAACAGTGTCTTTTTGTTTGATGCCGAAATCTTCTAAATGGAAGCTATCTTTGACCAAACGGTGGAGTTCATCGTCCTGCATGGAATGGTTACAGCAGAGGTTAACATGTTCAACATTAGTCACACCACCATCATTAAGTGGGCCATGAATCGTCCATCCTAGCTTCGACTTCGACATTATGGGTTGATTCAATCGAGACTGAATTATTTGCCTGGGTATAATTAATCCACAGTTGTCCTGGCCTATTAATAATTTGGGCTTGACAACTCTGACAGATTCAAGAATCTGAGAATCCAGATAAGGAAACTTCCTCATGACATCTTCAACATCGATTTTTTGCAGTGGAAGATCCAGATTTCTAACGGTACGAACTTCTTTCATCTTATAGAATACAGGGTGTGAGGAATCAGCTGCAATTTCGAAGGAAACAGTCTTGGAATCGTCTTCATAGTGGTTTATGCCATTGGTCCACTGGAAACACAACGGGAAGGTAGGTCCATTCAATTGAAGTTCATTCGCTAGTTCAGTTTCAATCATTGTGCAAGTAGAGCCTTCATCGAAAAGAGCAAAAACTTTAAACTCTCCAGATGGGCCTCGTACCTTCACTGGCGCGATTCTGAGCAATACAGATTGTCCTGTACACATATCGTTCTGGTTAGCACAAAATTGGTCTGGTTTTTCATGTGGCAAAGATGTAGATGGTTGAGCTAATTCAGTTGCAGGTTTCTCCAGGTGTAAAAGTTTATTGTGTCTACCCCTGCAACCATTCTCATTGCATCTAATTTTCTGGTTGAAGCATCTTGTAGATATATGACCAACCTTTAGGCAAATAAAACAGAGTTTTCGTTCCAAAACAGCAGCTCTTCTTTCAGTAGTTGATTTTTCAAGAAAATCTCCGCATTCAGTTATAATATGATTAGAGCTGTTGCAATATGCACATTCGGTCACAGGCTGTTCATTCTTCGTAGACTTCTTCTTAGTGATCAACACATTTTCTTTCTTGGAGCAGGGTTTCTGGAACGGATTCGAAATTGAAGCGACAGAGTTAACTTCCTCCTCAAACCACTCAACGAAATCTTCAAGTGAAGTATAGTATCGATGTTCTTCCTTCTCGAGTCGATACTTGACTTTCGCCCAGTTGTACTTCTGAATTTGCGGCAACTTTTCTACCAACGATGACAGTAGCTCTGGATTGACCAAATAATTATTGCAACCAACGGTTTTCATTGTTGTTACCATATTCGATACGGCATTCAAGAAGGACATGCTACTTTCCAGTTTGTCTTCTTTAATTGGGCTAAGCTTCTTTACCTTGTCCATAAGCGAGAAGATAATCCATTCAGGACGACCAAAATTCATTTCGAGGTTCTTGACTATCCTAGGAACATTAGCTGCAGAAGTAAGTAAGGCTTTAACAGTTTCCCTTGCCCTACCCTTCAAGGCTCTGTCCAATCGAAGTAAGTTTTCGTCGTCACTGAGTTTGTATGATTTAGTTGTACGTTCATATTCACTGATGAATATTGGCCATTCACATAATTCTCCGGAAAATGTAGTAAGATCTCGAAGTTTGTGACGAAATAGCAATGCATTGGTAGCAGCCGAATTTTCCACACACTGCTTAGCTATATCTGCAAAACTATCGTTTGCTTTGCAGTTGCTGTTCCTCACAGAATTGGAATTTTCCTTCGCCGAAAGAGAGTTTGGTTGATATTCATTCTCCAACTGTATAATGGATTCTGCAGCAGCACACTTTCTTGCATTGTCAATCCACATACCAAGACGATTATCACCATTGTACAGCCTCTCTCCATCAGAACATTCGGAGATCTTATCCTGTACGGATTCTGTGTCTATGATTTTCCTCTTGATTTCCATCTTTTTCCTCAAGTTCTCACGCTTTTTCTCAATTGTTCTCAATCTCTCTTCAGCTTCTTCTTGATCCAATTTTTCCTGCTCCTCTATTATTGCTAATTCTAGATTCAATTTCGACGCTTTCGAAATCCTAGAAATGACAGACTTTTCTTGGATCTGCTGACTTCTGTCATCAGAATTTTTGTATCCACTGCGAGAATGGGTTTGTAATTTAGATTTCACCTGAAGCGCATCTTCAGAGGCCACCATCACAGAAAAGGCACCGTGTGCTGAAGTGGAAATCGCGGGCGCATCAGAAACGGTCTCAGGCACCCTAGTTCTACTAGTTGAAACCGCATTCGTAATTTCACTTGCAGCATATCTTCGAGGTGGTACTCCTTTTGTGCACCTCATACTCCTACGCAACATTGTAGCTTCATCCATATCAGTGTTTGCAGTACTTCTGATATCCATAACGCTGATTTAAGTAGTTCGAAGGACCATATGTAACTTTCGGAGATTCAAAGCACAAATAAACCTCTCGAAAGTTTATCTTTATTCAGATTATACAAAAAATACGACTGACAAATCTTGTCAGATCAATAATTCAACTTTTTCATACATAGTGAAACAAAACACAAAAACAAAATATCAATTGGGATTCAACAGGGCTGTATCATAACATTGGATGCTCCAATGTAGTTTCTTTACATGAAAGATCTTATCTTTCTTTCGATGAGATATTACCCCCTCAAATGCTTTACACTTATTTAGTTACACTCTGTATATCAGAACCTATCTGTTTCAGACTGTTTTTCGTAGTTTCTGCATAAATATTATCTATTATGTGAACATTTTCTCTAGATTCCTGATATTCATCGGTATATCACACCTGGAGCCTATAGCAGGAATGATTACAGAGATATAGTAGAATGTTCAAATTGGAGATTTTTCAACTTCAGGAATTTTTTGTGACGAAAATATTCATTATCCGTCAAAACGGCTTTCATTTTCCTATATCTCAAGCTTTATTTTTCTACTGTATTCAATTTAAACAGATACAGGGGATGATCAGAATTGTGAATGTTGAACCACCCAGTATTTGTTTCAATGAAATGTCAGTCGATAGTAAACCAAAAGTTGAGGTAGGGACATGATTGTGAGCCGTTTTGACCAGTAATAAATAGTTTCGACGAAAAACAATTAAAGTTAAAATTTCTCGTAATCAACACCCAATATCTCTATAAACTCTTCTGCTAGACCCCAAGGGTGATGAATTGATGTTATCAACTCTTCAGAGAGAATCTGAAGAATCAATAAATACAGGATGTCGCGAAGGATGTTATATTTGATAAAAGGAGGCTCGTACGGAGGTTAATAATAATTCCGGAATAACTCAAAAAGCAGCAACGTTGGCGATGAAATTCTCAAATCCGCTACGTTTTGGAATCATCCTGTACATGACATTCGGAAAAATCTATCAAACGATTACCAACCCCAGCGAGCGAACATCTCAGAGATGGTAAAAGTACGATAATTCGAGACATTGAACCACCACTGCGATGTTTTGTTTACACATGAATAGAACTCTTTTATAGAACAACCAATGTCTGCCGTAGGCAGCGTTCATGAAGATGTTTTTGGGATGTCACAAAAATACATTCTCCCTAGTTTTTATTTAGTCTCTTTCATGGAAACAACAGAACATCTTCAAATCGTCTTTCGCACAGTAAATCGCTGTATATAAACCATTTTCGAGGTACTTCTCCGAAGCCTTCCGTTGAAATGAACTCCTGCATTCGAATTACATTTCCATTGAATCGAAAAATGCATTCAAATCGATTGAACATCAAGATATTGATTCGCATCCTCAACGGAGCCAGTATTTCCTTCATTTTCTTTCTTCTCCTATAATATATTAGGAATATTCTCGGAATATTCAGAACAGCGTCCATTCCGAATGTTTATAGAACATCCCTAGAATATTTCCATCATATTGTGAGGATATTCTGAGAATAATCAAATATCTTTGGAAAATATCCTATGGACATTCTATGAATGACATTGTCCTATCATGGATGAAGTCGATGTAAAAAAGCGCTTCATTGTTCGAGAATGAAATTCTCGTATGATGTTCAGTTATAAGAAAAGAAAAAAATCGGATATGAAGATGAGACTATACCTAGCTGAATTAATCCACAAATATTCGTTCATGAATCAAAACAACATTACAGAAAATGAAGAAGAAAATTCAAACACAAGAAAAATAACTTCGAAGAATGAAAAAATATGTAGCAGGCAGAGCATACTTGTGAGAGATCAAAGTCCATCGAAATGATACACTTTTCAGAAATATGTACTCATCTGCTCAAGTTTTTTCTTCTCAATCTATGCCCTTACATCACATCAGGCAGGTTCAGCTCTCCATTTATGTTGAGAAAAGTGAGATCCTAGAAATCTATTTCTTTCTATATGTTTATTGAAGAAACTTAAGTTTTGAGCAAGATGAAATTTCCTAATTGATACAATATTACTGATACTATTTTATATCATTTATATTGTTAGGTAAATGGTGGATGTCAGCAAACGTTTTTCGTTGATAATTACTCAAAATGTGTTCAGAGCTCTGAAGGTTATGACAATAAAATAGTTTGGATAAGTACTTCAAAATGGAGAGATAGAGATAGGACGCCTATTTTCAGATAGCTTCCGGCAGTGTCAAAGATGTTCGAATCGCAATCAAGTTAATCATTTCTTTCGCTTCATTACACAGGTCAATATGTAAACACGATATTACGAACTAAACATTGATCGTGAATAAAATTCGGGAATTAAAAAAAACCATACTCGTGAATCTTTCACTATTCAAGGAATGGTCTCGTATTTCGGATAGGATGGTGTCCTCATTTCGGATATCATCAATTACTCCTTGAAGAAGTTCGGCGCCAATTTTGAAGTTGATGCTGAAACCTAATCTCTGGACATAGGCATAGAAGAAATTATAGCAGCAATATACTCCTTAGAAAAGATTAGTGTTATTTTGCAAGAGAAAATTCAAGAAATGATTCCATATTTCGTAACTTTTTTCTGTAATTTCAATTTGATCATGAAAAATCATGTTGTTCACAGCCGTGGATAATGTGAAAGTATGGATTTTGGACAGAAAAGTCTTCCAGCAGATAATGATGAGGACTGGACTTCAGCGACTCCAAGATAACATCAACTTTCTCAAGTCTGTACCATTACTGCAGAATCTCAACAACGACGTTTTAGCAAAAATTGCAGATGTCTTAGAAGTGGTGAGTAGGTACATAATAATATGTAGTTGTAGATAATCAAGTTCTGCTGCCTAATTCACAGTTGCAACTGTGAATTGGAACAAAAAGAACTTTCTTCACACTCTTCCTCATTCATAGTTGCAACTGTAAATTAGCACTAATCTACAGTTATTACTGTAAATTAGGCAAATATTCGTGAAAAATTGTTTCATGGTGGCAGTTCAGACGCGTTGTAAGATTCCGCCACATACTGACCAATTTTATATTGATCATTTCATTTATATATAGTATTCGCTGCAATCATATTCGTTATTTAAAATCATCACAAATACTATTTTGACTAATTAAATTCGGCATCTTTTGAAAACTCAACCTCTTGACAGCTTTGCCGTCTCAACCAAATCTTCAGATTTCGGAAACATGGCTTGAAGCATTCACTGAATTTGATCTGAGAACTCATCACAATCAAAGTACATATCAGTTTTTTTTTATCGCTTGGAGCGCACGAAAGGGAATCCCTATAATGTTCAGAGAACATCGTGCGTTCCTAGGGACGATAGGGACAGGAGGTAGGTATTGGATTTTTTTTGAACTTTTGGAGATTATATGTTGTTGGGAATACTTCCACAGGCAATGAATTCCAGAGCCTAGCCGTTCTATGGATGAGAGAGTCCTGATAAAGTGCTGTTCGACATCTTTCGAGGTTGACAACGAAAGGATGTGCTGACTGGGCTTGTCTAGTTCATCTGATTAGTATTGCTAGTGAAGGGATGATAGCAGAGATTTCCAAGGAACATTTCCCGTGGAAGTATCGATAGAAAAGTGAAAGGTCGCCGACCTTTCTACGGTGTTCCAATGATGTCAAAGAGTGAGTGAGTGTGGCGTCACCCACCAGGCGAATGGTTCTTCTCTGGATGGAATCTAAGAGCATCAGCGTATGTTTTGGTGCTGAACCCCATATGTGGGAACAGTATTCTAGAACAGGCCGTATCTGCGCTTTGTAGATCATGAGAAGCTGTTGAGGTGTAAAGTAGCTTTTCGCACGAAACAAGAATCCGAGTTTTTGTGAAGCAGCTTTTGCGATGGATCTGACATGATTATTTCATGAAAGAGTGTTGCTGATGGAAATACCGAGCATAGATATGGTGGGCTTGGTGGGGATGGTGGAGCCAGACATTACAATATCGGGCATACTGAGTTCCGCCTTTCTAGAGAAAATGCAGGCTTGAGTTTTGGTGGCGTTGAATTCAACTAGGTTGTTGGTTCCCCAGGCTGTGATTTCAGCAAGATCTCCATTGACAGCATTGACCTGCCTGCGCCGTGAGTTCTTAGTTTCCTGGGAAGAGATGGGAATTCTGGAAGAGAACGCAGTATGGAGGGTACTATCATCTGCAAAGCTGTGGATGGGGCAAGTTGTTACTCCCAACAGATCATTGATATGAAGCAGGAATAAAGTTGGTGCCAAAATTGATCCTTGTGGAACACCGTCCACCACCACGTGAAGCGATCTGCCTGAAAGAAAACTCGATAAGAGATGGCAAAGCTGAGGTGGTAAGCCGTATGATAGTAGTTTGTGGAGGAGTCCTTCGTGCCAAACACGGTCGAATGCTTTCGATATGTCCAACGCGACAGCTAGAGATTCCCCGTGTTTTTCTAATGAAGCTTGCCATGAATGGGTGACGTAGGCAAGTAGATCTCCAGTAGATCTTCGGTGGCGAAAGCCGTATTGTCTATTCCTGAGCTCTCTAGATATTTGATAAGCTCAATATTGATGGCTTTCTCCATCACTTTGGAGATTACTGATAACAGGGCAATGGGCCTGTAGTTATTGTGCAGGTTCTTGTTCCCTTTTTTGGGGATTGGTTGGACTCTAGCTGTCTTCCAGCATGATGGAAAAATATCCGACCTGTACGAGATGGTAAACAACTTGCAGAGAATCGGTGTTAATTCTGGTTCACATTTTTTCATGATAATGGGTGGAATTCCATCCGGACCGTTAGCCTTATTCGTTTTGAGACCAAGCAAAATTCGTCTGATAGTGCGTTGACGGAAGACGATTCAGGGCATTCGACTCTCTACGGGTGGAATGTCTGGCGGCACTTTTCCTTGGGAATCTAAAGTAGAGTTTGCTACGAACATCTCTGCAAATATATTTGCTTCCTCCTGCGATGTTGTTGCTAATGTGCAGTCGGATTTGGACAGTGGTGGAGATGAACTATCAGTGAAATTTCTTCCGACCGCTTCAGCAAGGGACCAAAACGAACGAGAGCCATTGGGGCAATCTATGAGTTTCGATCTTATCTTGGCATTGTATGTTTCTTTAAAGGCATCTATTGTTTGGCTGCAGTTATTCCTGGCATCAACGTATTCTGCTCTAGTCGCGAGGTTAGGGATTTTGCGCCAGCGATGGTAGGCTGTTTGTTTCAAGGCCACAGTTCTAAAACAGTTTTTGTTGAACCAGGTTTCGAAGGTGATGATCTTTTCGAAAAATGAGGTATGTATGTGTCCATTCCGAGCATGATGATCTCGGATATTTCCGCAGCACACTGTGAAGGGTCCTCAGAGTCAAAGCATACTCTAAGCCAAGGAAACTCGGAGAAAAACATGCGGATACCGTCCCAATCTCCTGAATAATTGTAATGCCATATAAGACGTGGGGGTGCCGGAGCAGTTGATGGAATTGAAAATGGGCAGGTTGTGGAGATGAGTGTGTGGTCAGAATTGCCAAGTGGATCTCGTACTTCTATGGTGTAAGGTGCTGAATTATTAGTGAGGAATAAGTCAACTATGTTAGCTGAATGGTTATTGCCATCGGGAATTCGTGTAGGTTCTTTGATAAGCTGCTCTAAGCCGTGAGTTTGCTATACAAATTGGACTGAAAATCTGACAAAAATCAAAAGAGAACGTTATCTTCGCCAAGTATATGTTAGAAACAAAATCATTGGTTGTGAACAAGTTGCCAGTTGTTATAGGATTGCAAGAAGGTAATAATCTAATTCTTTTCAAACTCCGCGAGCATGCTCTCAAATTGTAAAGTAATACACCATTTATGTTACTTTTCACATGAATACCCCTTTTTAACAGGTCCATTGAATGATGTCAGCAATATATCAAACAATAAGAGGTTCCCATCAGTTTTTTCATATGATTCTATCACATTTTCCTTCGGAAAATGCTATCCTCACATATATCCTGACAACTTGCACGATCATTCCTATTTTATTGATACACAAGTTTGTAACAGTAGTCATGTTGATGTTGATTGGTTTCAATTTCATTTCCTACTTACCTTATGAGATTATACATTTCACAGGAATTTTACCCTGCTGGTGTTCATATCGTGAGACAAGGTGCTAGTGGAGACACGTTCTATATCATCAGCAGTGGATCTGTCAAAGTGACACAACGCCCTCCAAGTAGGTGAATCTATAATAACAATGCACTATAGCGGGCGATAAATTTCTCTTTACCTGATTTTTTCGATGTATTGCTATTCAACAGCCATCTCAGCTTGATTGACAACGTCAAAATTAGGGAGATATATACTGTGGGTATGCATTTTGTAACATTTCAAAAATGAATCACTCTTGGGGAACGAAGAGTTCAACGATGACGATAATTGCGGTATTCGTACGATAGGTAATTTTGATATGGGTCTCCCAATAACCATACCGTAAACTGCATTCATACGTTACATTTGAAATGTTGTTATTTGAGATCTAAACAATATGCATCACGTGCGTGAAATGAGTCTATGCATGGCCTTCAGCGTGTGGTGGTCTTTGGCTGGCGCCATCGGGTCATTATTCACGCCGCAGGCCATAAACGCTTACATTACGACCTTGATACATAATAGTTATTCATACACCAAGGTAGTAAAGAATATCAGCATTACCCAGAGACCAAGATTATATCCCGATGCCACAGCCGAGGAGTATAAGGTTCCGTCTTTACTACCAAGGTGTATATCACGTTATATTCACCACTAGCAGGATATTTCAATCACTTCGATTCTGTGAAACTGAAATATGGACTTGTTGTCCCTATAAAAAAGCACTTCTTTTCAATTCTGATTCAAATTCAGTAGTCATGATCATGCCAGCATATGACATATCGATATTGATCATTCGAGTGCCATTCTTGCGAATCTCACATAAGACTACCTTTTTCAATTGTAATTCAGAAAGAATAGGATGTAATTCAGAAAGTATTAGTTGTAATTTAGAACAGTTGATTGTAATTCAGGAAGCGTATTATGTAATTCAGATTAGTGGAATGTTATTCAGAAAGTGTAACTTTCAATTCAGAATAGTGAAATGTAATTGAGATACCGTCAAATGTAATTCAGAAAGCATAACTTGTAATTCAGAAACTAGGAACAATCCGTATGAATCCATTCTTCTTGAGACTTCAACGTTAATCAAGTTACCAACAATCAAAGCCATGTTGTCATAGAAAGTAACTCGAAATATCAAATAAATGTCAAATAAATTGCACAACACACCACCATTCACCATGCTGCAGCTCTGACATTTCAAGATGAGCCCGTTGGTAGATAAATATAAGATGTTCACCACACAATAAATTCGTTGATTTCTATCCCCTATACCCTTATTTAAGTCCATAGTATTTATGAAAATCAAATGATGCTTCCTGAATTACAAATTGCGCTTTATTAATTTCAAATGACTATTCTGAATTACAAGTTACACTTTCTGAATTACATTTTACTAATCTGGATTACAAGTTGCACTTTCTGAATTACAATTGAAAAAGGTGCAGTGAATTCGAATTGATTATAGATGGTGGTAGATTACAGAGGTGGCTATGTCTTTATTGAATAGTGGTTTATGAAATGACTACCTTGGTAGTAGAAACATACTTCACGCCTTGAAAAATTGTGAATAATGGTATAGGTTATAGACCTTGTGGTGAGAGAATAACTAATATGCACGACCGGGCGTAATGTAGCACTTTTCCGCCCCGTTACTTTTGCAAGCGCAAAGTGGCACTCAAAATATGAGGGGTGCAACAAAGAGAATGAATTGAAAATAACAATTATTATGGTAGGTACCCTATTGAGAAAAATAGTTATTTTCTCCGATTGGCAGCAAATATTAATTAAGCTGACACATATCAATCAGCAAAGTATTACTTTTCCTGTCTAGGCAGCAAAGTGGGTTCCTTGCTGCCTATGCAGCACAGTGGTTACTTTGCTGATTGATATGTGTCAGAAATTTCATGAATTGTCAAACTATAATTATTATGGACATTTCCATAGCAACCAACCATTCCAACAACTTCGATTTCTATCAAATTTTATTTTAATTGAACACTACAGGAAAAATAAAGAGATTGTGGGAATTGTAATAATTTGCAAATAAAATATCTTCCTATATCATTATGAACAATCAGAGAAAAAATTATTGTTCAACTCGGCAGCAAAGTAGATTGACTGCCTAATTAAACAAATAACTATTTATTATACAAGGGGAAAAAGTTGCAGATTTTAGCTCCAGGTTGTGTTGTCTCCCGTCGCGTAGCGGAGGGAGACAAAAAACCGTGACCTAAAATCTAATATTTTTCACGTGTATAATACACTATTTTTTTCTGTGACAAAAGAAAGGACGAATCAATATTGAGAAGATATTACATTATTATTGAAATCGGAAAATTATCGACGTGAAATTTTGAGTTTTTAACAGTAGTAACATTCTTTTGAAGTAATCAAATATCTGATGTCACTTCTGTCAGTCTAATTCTGTGATTTGATTTCAAGAAATTGCGAATTTAGTGGTTGTAATATATTGTATATGCGAAGTCGAATGAAAGATAAAAGGACTCGCAGTTCTTTCTCGGAGACGGTATTATTGACTCATTCTTCGGAACTATAGCACAACAAAAGCCATCAACAGTGTATACAGTATGATGCAAATGTATGGAATGAATTCATTTCAAAACAAGACGACTTCCGAAAGAAATCCAAAAAGTAGAGTTCAGAACTTTTTTATCGATGTATTTTTTCAACTAGACGATCCTTCGATGTTCAATTCTCAGTAGGAGATCTCTGCAAGATTCAGTTAACCAAATGATAATCCATTTTAATTTTAATCTCCTTTTGCAAAATTTTGACTATTGGATAGACGATCAGTAGACCTTTCAAACGAGGTGTCACATGACCCCTGTTTGTATTTAAAAAAACCGTCCATTACGTCATTACTCCAACACCGGTGATGTAATATCTCTCATATGAATGTCATGAGATGAGGTTTCAAAAATTAAAACTCACGTGTTTTTGGAATTTCTTCAAATGTCGCCCATTTCTGAAATAATGAATTTATTCCATACATTTGCATCATACTGTATATGATATATATCCGGGAAAAAAGTAATCACTTTTTTCCCATGGGAAAAAAGTAATTTATGAAAAGTGGCATTTTCTAACCTACCAACAGAGATGAAATGCCAAACTTTTTTCTCGTCATAGAAAAAATACTAAATTCATTACGTCGCCGACTTATAAAATCGATTCATCTCGAAAATAGTGAGTGCTATCTAAACTGAGCAAGAATACTTACTATTTCCAAGTGAAGATGATGAATTCCATATTTCTAGATTTTCAAAGTAGGCATAAAAAGTGAGGCACATGTACAAAATTTGGCTATTTTTTTTTTGTTCCTAGAATCTATAGTTGAAATCTTTCTATGTGATTTCGGGACACCTCATAATATCGACACACATCTCTTCCAGGCCGCATGGAGGAAGAGGAGATCCGCGTCCTCCACCGCGGCGACTACTTCGGGGAGCAAGCCCTCCTCAAGGAGGACCTCAGGACGGCCTCGGTGATATCTGTCTGTCCCGGCGTAGAGTGCCTCACTTTAGACAGGAAGCACTTCAAACAACTGATAGGGGACATCAGCGAGATCAGAGAAAAGGACTACGGGGACGAGGAGAGACTGAACAAGCCCTCGTCTTCCTCGGAGCAACAAGGTATTTTCATGAATTCTTTCAAATTTCAATTCTTATCGAGAACCATTCCATCTCTACATCTCGATTCTTTCAGCATGTCTTCACGTGTACTGGTTCATTTTTAAGAGCGTCATAAACTGCTGAACTGCTGAAAATTCTTCGGCGATTGCAGCTGTTCAGCAACACCAATCTCTCATGCGGTCGGTCATTGACGAGCTGCAGACAAAAACTGTCCAGTTCGAAGATAGGATTACATTTCATGCGCAGTCTTATGTTGAATAGTGACAAAAGACCATAACGATTTCGGAGCACACCGCTTATTTTCCGAGGACCTCTCTCGAGATTTGAGATATGCTAAGCGAATATATGAATCCGACCTCGCAGGAAAAGGAACGAAAGCCATCTACAAATATACCAGAAGTAAACTTGCCTCAAAGATGTCTTTTCTTTATTACATTTACTGTGGAAACTGTAGAGGAGAAGCTCAAGAATATCAAGGAAGGGGTATCACCTGCTAGGCCAGATAATATACCAGCCTTCATACTGAAGAGATATGCATCAATCATCGCAGTACCTCTTAGTCATATTTTCGAATCCTCCTTTCACTCTTCTTGCCTTCCTTCTGCCTGGCGACTTGCGTCTGTTACCCCCATTTATAAGAAAGGAGATAAACTTGACCCTGGTAACTACAGACCAATAAGTCTAGTATCCTTGTGTGCTAAAATCATGGAACGAATAATTGTAGATGTCCTACTACCTTTTCTGCTCGAGAACGACGTGATTCCACCCACCCAACATGGCTTCATACCAGGAAGATCAACAACAACTAACTTGCTCTATTGCTTGGATAAATGGACCAAATCAATGGACTCCGCATCACCCATTGATATTATATACCTTGATTTTTCCAAAGCGTTCGACAAGGTATCACGAAATAAGCTATTGCACAAACTTGAACATTTTGGTGTCAGAGGAAAACTCCATAACTGGATAGCTGCATTTCTCTCTGACAGGGTTTTCAGAGTGAGAGTGGGTACCAGTCACTCTAGTACTCATGATGTTACGTCTGGAGTACCCCAGGGATCGGTCTTGGGTCCAACATTATTTTTGGCATACGCATCAGATTTACATACCGCTCTAAGGTCCGACCATGCATTTTTCGCAGACGACAGCAAATTTTTCGGCAACCCACTATCCAGTTTCGATGAACTACAATCTGATCTGCTATCAGTACAAAGCTGGTGCGGCATGTGGGACATTCCTCTGAATATCGACAAGTGCTCTATTCTACATGTTGGCCCCACTAACCCAGAACTAGACTACTACCTAGGTAATAAAATCATTCCTGCAGTGGAGAACTATAACGACCTAGGAGTCATTTTCAACAAGAAACTAACTGTGTCCAATCAAGTAGCAGTAGCTGTCCGTAAGGCAAACAGTCGCACATACCTCCTTAACAAATGTTTTGACCAACCTGAACCAAGCCTCTTCAATAAGCTTTATAAAGCATATGTTCGCCCACACCTTGAATATGCGGTGCAGATATGGAATCCTCATCTGGTGAAAGACATTCAACTTCTGGAAAGAGCCCAACGCAATGCAACACGAATGGTTAGAAGTTTCAGGGATCTTTCCTATGAACAACGGCTATCTCGGCTAAGGCTTCCTTTGCTGAGTGATAGACGAGCTAGAGGAGACGCTATTCTGACTATAGAATTCTGCACGATGACTTCTCTGTTGACCTATCCAACTTATTCCATCTACAGAATGATGATAGATTGAGAGGCCATACTATGAAGTTGAAGCAAGAACATTTTCGAACCACACTCAGACAAAAATTTCTGTCAAATCGAGTATTTTCAAAGTGGAATGCATTACCTCGTGATGTTGTGTCAGCTCCCAGTGTGAATAGTTTCAAAAACCGCTACGACTTGGTGCAATTGCAATTGCAATTTCAACAATTACAGTGATTACTGAATTAGGTATCAATAGTGTATCATTAGAAATGTATTGGACTTGACACATTAATAGTTGTAACTAATTTTAAGCTTAAGTATCTATTGGGCAAAATAGGCTATGCCTCTGCCCTTGTTATAATATAATAATAATAATAATAATAATAATAATAATAATAATAATAATAATAATAATAATAATAATAATAATAATAATAATAATAATAATAATAATAATAATAATAATCTCGGAGATCCAGAAAATCCCAGCGTGCCGTGATAAGGCACACATCCTGGTTGGTGGAATGCAGAAGGCCGTCATACTAGGATCATTGCGTCTACTCAGGGCACACGGTACTTGGTCCCAGTGATTACTCACCTCACAGGCTGTGAGGAGTAGTCACTGGATTTTATCCAGCACGAATCTGCGTGACGTCGGAGGCCGCAGGGTCGTGACTTGAATTATATAAACTCAAAATAATAATAATAATAATGATAATAATAATAATAATAATAATAATAATAATAATAATAATAATAATAATTCTGTGGAATTGGTCATCCTGATTATCGGCTCCCTAGGAGGCACACGACACACGCTACTCTCGGAGATCCAGAAAATCCCAGCGTGCCGTGATAAGGCACACATCCTGGCTGGTGGTATGCAGAAGGCCGTCATACTTGGATCATTGCGTCTACTCAGGGCACACGGTACTTGGTCCCAGTGATTACTCACCTCACAGGCTGTGAGGAGTAGTCACTGGATTTTATCCAGCACGACTCTGCGTGACGTCGGAGGCCGCAGGGTCGTGACTGGAATTACATGAACTTAAATGAATAATAATAATAATAATAATAATAATAATAATAATAATAATAATAATCGGAGATCCAGAAAATCCCAGCACATCCTGGCTGGTGGAATGCAGAAGGCCGTCATACTGGGATCATTGCGTCTACTTAGGGCACACGGTACTTGGTCCCAGTGATTACTCACCTCACAGGCTGTGAGGAGTAGTCACTGGATTTTATCCAGCACGACTCTGCGTGACGTCGGAGGCCGCAGGGTCGTGACTGGAATTATATGAACTAAATAATAATAACTAGGGAAAAAGCCAAATACTCAAAGTGGAATGCATTGGTCACAAAATAGAGAAACTCAAAGTCATTACCACAACTAGTTCATAAAATGAACGACAATGGTAGATATCTACTTTGAGTATTTGGCTTTTTCCCTAGTTGAAAACACGCCAGTCGGGCAACCAGCCACTCCTATTTCACCTGAAGTGGGATTTTGTTTTGGAGTGTTTCTTTCCTTGCCAGGTGGCGTTCGGCGTTCGCGTTTTCATTTCGCAGACGTCGTACGCCTCGTATGGTATAAATGCTGAGATGCGTTTACGTTGGGTCAGATTCGCACCAGATAGCGGTCAAGAAGCTATCTGGGACAGCCCTGTACTGATGAGAGCCAAGAGCTCGAAACCGGTCTGCAGGTAGTCAGCGTTCCTGAACCACTTAAGCGCAGCTCAGCGTTTAGGAAGGAAACACTTGCGATTTTATTCGTTTATACGAACTATCGCATAGGTTTCGGGAGGATGTAATGCAATGTTCTGCGTGGCATATAGCCAGGAAAGTAGTTGTTTTCCTCTCGTTATCTACCATTGTCGTTCATTTTATGAACTAGTTGTGGTAATGACTTTGAGTTTCTCTATTTTGTAAATAATGATAATAATAATAAACTCTTCACCGACAGTTCACTTTGAGAAATGATATTTTTGGCTTTGGTCGTTGTTGTCCCTATCTGGAAAAAAGACTACGGCGACGAGAAATGGTTTTTTTTCATATACAAATACATATGTTTTTATATCTCTATCAAAGACAAAGATGTTTCTTCGGGTGAGAAAGAACAACAAGAACAGCAAAACTCTGCTGGATCGTTACTCAACATCAGAGCAGTCAAGAAATCAACTACTTCAAGAGGTTCGAGGTACAAATGTGTGGACAGTTCCTCAAAGATTGAAGGAGTTTGGTTCGAAAGCTTACAGACTCAAACTGGTTCTGCGTCACCATCAGATATAGCTAGACTGAAATTCGCCACTCGGCATTTGATTTGGAAATTGAGGCAAATTAATGGAACAATGTTATTTTTCCTGACGAATCCAAATGCTGCTTATATTCGATGGAGAAGAGTTAGAAAAAGATTTGCAGTTTAGACTTACAGTCTCCGTCTGAGCTAAGAAGGAGGTTCAGTAATTGTTGTGATCAGGAATAACCCGGAAGACCCGCACTGAATTGGTGGTCATCGATGGATTCTTGATAGCCCACCGATATATTGATGACATATCAAACAATCATATGTTGTTCCTTCCAGTGGATAAACCGGCGATGACTTTACCCTATCACAGGATTATACACGACCACTTACAGCAAATTTTGTTACCTCGCAGAAGTACATAATAAACTGTCCAGCATATTCACCTGAACTCAACCCCATAGAGCATGTGAGAGATATTCTTGGTAGATTAGTAACGGATCGCGAAGAAGCTCCGATTACAGTGAATGAGTTTGGTTTAGCTCTTCAGAAGGAATGGGACAATATTCCTCAAGTTGCTATTTGTAATCAGATTGACAGTATGGGCCATGCTATGCAAGCTATTATAAAAGCAAGGAGTGGTAATGGAAAATTCAAGTACGACCTCAGGACGGTCTCGGTTTTATCTGTCTGTCCCGGCGTGGAGTGCCTCACTCTAGACAGAGTATTTCGGTATTTTTTTTCAAAATACCAATATTTATCAAGACGCAGAAATATGACAAATTCTTTTTGAGGCCCTTCTGAGGCGTTCACAATAGGACGTCGAGGGCAAGCCTGAGACGTCTCCCGGACATCTTCCGATGATTTTTTAGGGATATTCAAGATGAATGTGGAGGTAGGTTGGTACAAATGGAGATTTTCAGGAATAATATAGATCTCATGATATTTGCAAAAATCTTCTGCTAAAATGTTCAAATGGAAAATTTACATTCGATTATTTGTAACCTATTCTGAGGAATTCCAAGTTTCTTTTCGAA